CTTTGTTGGCTGAGAAGTTGAGCGGGGGGTGGGGGTGGGAGGGTGGGGGGTTGGGGGGGTCGCGTCCGAAAGCCCTCACACCGGTCCGGGTGCCACCTCTCCCTGCTTGGGCGCCGCCGCGCGAGCGCTTCCCTTCCCCCTGCGAGCGCCCGGATAATGTCTGAGAATGTCCATTTCTGGGACGCTTAGCAGCTATTATGTCGACTCGATCATAAGTCACGAGAGTGAGGACGCGCCTCCAGCCAAGTTTCCTTCCGGCCAGTACGCGAGCCCGCGGCAGCCGGGCCACGCGGAGCACCTGGAGTTCCCCTCGTGCAGCTTCCAGCCCAAAGCGCCGGTGTTCGGCGCCTCCTGGGCGCCGCTGAGCCCGCACGCGTCCGGAAGCCTGCCGTCTGTCTACCACCCCTACATCCAGCCCCAGGGCGTCCCGCCGGCCGAGAGCAGGTACCTCCGCACCTGGCTGGAGCCCGCGCCTCGCGGCGAAGCTGCCCCGGGGCAGGGCCAGGCGGCGGTGAAGGCGGAGCCGCTGCTGGGCGCGCCTGGGGAGCTGCTCAAACAGGGCACGCCCGAGTACAGTTTGGAAACTTCGGCGGGCAGGGAGGCCGTCCTGTCTAATCAAAGACCCGGCTACGGGGACAATAAAATTTGCGAAGGAAGCGAGGACAAAGAGAGGCCGGATCAAAGTAAGTTATAAAAAGTGAGGAAATACCCAGGCCGAAGGCCAGGCGAGGGGGAGGGGAGGGGAGAGGCAATAAACTGGGACAATGTGAAGGGAAAACGCGGCGATGGCCGGAGAGAGCTCGGGGTGGAGGAAAGATGAAGGAAGGGAAGCAGGAAGGAAGAAGGGAGAGGAAAATGCCGAATGCCCTAGAAGGGAAGACTGAAACTGCTGAGCAACGCCGCCCCCACTGCTCCCAAGTCCTGTGGGGAACTGGGGCTCAGGGATCAACTCGCTGGTCTCTCACCCTCCCTTCCCCCTCTTTCCCCGAGGCCCCGGTTGAAAGCCGGATAAGACCCGCAACAGCCGGGAGAGGAGCTGGAGGAGCTCGGGGCTGATGGCCAGCGAGGCCAACACCCTGCGCCGGCACCGACCGGAGCGTACAGGGCTGCCCCGGACCGCGCGGCTGGCAGAGCTCCCCAGCCACGCGCAGACCGTAAAAGCCGGCCAAGGGGAAGGGGGAGGGGGCTCATTAGGATTTTATTTGCGATGCAACAGCTTGGCGGAGGATTGTTCCTAGCAGATCTCGCGCAGTAGCCGCGCAGGGTCGGCAGCAGGCGCCGGGAGGGGCGGGGGAAGCCCAGGATGCGGTGACTGAGCCCCCTCCCCGGATGCGCCGGCCCCTCCCCGGGAGCCTTCCCTCCGGTGGCCCCCTCCCCTCTTCGGCATCCTCGCTCGGGTTGCCGCTTCCTTTTCTGCGGCTCCCGCTGCTCTCCGCGGGGCTCCTTAGCCCCAGCCAAGGCTATCCGCCTCGCGGGGAGTCGGGGAATCACTTCCGAATTTCGGGGCCCACCGCCAGAGCAGAGAAGGTGACATCCTGAAGAGACCCCAGGGAGAAGAGTGGTGGGGGCAAAGACGGGTGAGGAGAGGCGGAGAACTTTACCCTTCGTGGGGAATTTCTCCTCGCCTCCCTCTCCTCAATAGCACCCCTGTCAGAACCCCAAGTCTGGCTAATTTCCAGAAGGTGCTGCTGGCTGGGAGGAGAGGGTTCTCGAATTTTTTAAGCAGAGAAGGGCAAGTCAATTGAGGGGCTCTTAGCCCCAAACAATAACCTACATGCATGCCGGTGGGTTGAGTCCTCACCTCTTACTCTTTTGGGGGAGTAAGGAGTCGGATTTTTAGTTTCTGTGCACCGCACCAGATCCCACCAATAGAGTGGTCCACTGAACCTTTGGAGCTCCTTGCCTGCAAAAAGTAAAAAGCTGCCCCACTCTCCCCAGGCTCCTGTGGGTCCCACACCTCCAACCAGCCAGGTCGAATCATAAGAGCTGGCATTTGGGGAAACAGCTCTTCCCAAACCCTCCCTTACATACCCAGACACCACCGCCCCATACCCCCAAACTGCCTGGAAAGCCCATTATTGCAAGGCGGCCATTTGGCTAGGATCAATTATTAACAGTTTTTTTCCCTCTTTCATATTTAATGCGGCTGTGGGTCCCATCCCAGACAAGCACATTAAGAAAATAGTGCTGCAAATTGGTAAGACATGGTACTTAGTGTAGGATGAACTGAATATATTTTTTAAATTCAATGCTTTTCATTTGGGGAGAAGGAAGCTGGGAGAGGGTGGATATTATTTTTAATTAGTTCAGCTTTATTTGGCAACTTTTCTGAGTTCTAGGGTCTGGGGAAAGATAGTAAGGAGAAAAAGAACCCTGTATATATTTTTGTTTCCTCTTTTTGCCCTTCTTTAACTCAGTTTATCTGCCCCCTTTATCTGTCCCCTTCCACATATACAGGACCAATTAAAAGGCTAGATTGCTGTGAAGGGCTCTCTGTTACCCCTACCTTATCTCTGGCTCTCCACCTTGGGACTGGAGCAATTTTGCTCCCCAGTTTCCCTGAACTTGTGTTAACCAAACTGCAAGCTGAGCAGCAGAAAAGAAGAGGCTATTGCAGCCATAAGTAATCTGTGAGCCCTGGTGCTTCCCTGTCCAGAGGCTGGAGTTGATAAATGGTTGCAATTGGGTTGCTCATGAATTGGAGTGTGCTGAATGTTTGCGGCTCTAAGTGTGGACCCATATTTGTGGTGTGTGGTGGCAGGGAGGGGGAATATCTATGTAGCTACACATGCCTGCTGCCATGTGGCCTAGAGATGCAAGCTCTCTCATGATCAAGGCAGGGTGTACTAGGAGATCTCTTGGATATGACTGAAGAGAAGCCATTCTCCCTCTCCCAATTCCTCATCTCTCCTCTCAGACCTAGAGCCAGGGATCCTTCAGGTTGACCTCACCTAGCCATTCTAGTGTGCTGATGGTGGGGCTCCAGACATGCTGGGCTCTGACCTGAGTCCTACCAGTTTGGATCCAAGTGGAAATAGATTGAGAGAACTTGAGGCATTCTTGAAGCTCTGAAAGTATGTGAGGAAGCCTAGGCACAAGTTTGGCCTCATCCTTTCTAAAGTGTCTATAGTGGCTGCTGGCCCATTTCTGGGACCTTGTCTGGAAGGCCCAGGTGTTCTTCTCCAATGTCAGATGGAGAGAGGAGACCAAGGGTGCCCCTCTTGGTCTGGGGCCCTTCACCCCCTTCCTTCCTTTGATTCTATCCCTGCTTCTCTTTCAGCCAACCCCTCTGCCAACTGGCTGCACGCCCGCTCTTCCCGGAAAAAGCGCTGTCCCTACACCAAATACCAGACGCTGGAGCTAGAGAAGGAGTTTCTGTTCAATATGTACCTCACCAGGGACCGCAGGCACGAAGTGGCCAGACTCCTCAATCTGAGTGAGAGACAAGTCAAAATCTGGTTTCAGAACCGGCGGATGAAAATGAAGAAAATGAATAAGGAGCAGGGCAAGGAGTAAAGATCACCCCTGCCCTTCCCAGCCTTTCCCAGCCCTTCCCCATCTCGCTCTTATTTATGTGATGGCTGCAAAGCCAGTGCTGTCTGAGATGTATTCAAGTGAATGGGGAAGGGCTTCCTCTCCACAATCCCTCAACTGCACCTAGAGCCTGCCTCCTTTCCTTTGCCCATACCTGTCCCTCCCTTCTTCCTGGATGTCAGAAGAAAGTTTTGTTAAGTTAGAAGATAGAAGTAGTTGGTTCCTAAGAAAGAGATGGGCCACCAGGAAAGAGAGATGCTAGTCAAACTCCTAGAATCCCCTGTAATTTTTCTGAGAAGTCCTAACCCCTCACTTCCAGTCCGCCTTTTCCTTCTCTGCACCTATGCAGAAGTCACCCAGGGACACGCCAACTGCACACAGCCTAGCAGACGCCCACAGGCATAAAGTTTGGAGTTCACAGTAAATTGGTGAAATTAAGTCAAATGAAATGACACTCTAAGTGCAAACATTACACACCAAATCTGGCAGAACAGCTCTCAAATCATCAGGCAAGCTTGGGTTTCTACCCCAGATACAAATACATACCAGGAAGATGTCTAGAGACAGAAGCCTGAGCGAGGTGCTGCAGCCCAAAGTCTCAGCATCCCAATACCATCCCACATGGAATTGCCAACTATACCCCAGGACACGCCTGTGGCAGATGGGGACAACCTAGTCCCCAAGGTGGTAGGCTAGAAAGGGCAAGAAAAGGCAGTTAAGTGGTTTTATGAAGTTATCTTAGATGGAGCCCCTTCCATATACATTTTGTTGCAGGAAATGTTAATTCTGCATGATGTTTTCCTCACCTTCCAACAAAAGAAGGTCAAACTGTGGGTTGTAGAGCCTTGATAATGTCCTCCCCCATTCATCTGTGCCCCACTTGACAGAGACTATAGCTTTTCTTGCTCTGCACAGCCCCTGCATTCTTCTGCATCCCCTTCAGCTCTGAAATCAACTCTGTTCAGCTAAATCCACCTTGCACCAGGGAGTCAAGCTGCCCCTTCTAGAACACTCCCTCAACCCTTCACCCCCCCTTCCCATGTCAACCCCATTGTAGACAGGAAGGCCAGGTTTGGAGAGTCGGATTGAGAATTTATTGTGAATCGACTTCCCAGCTTTCTTCTGGAGTAAGCTATAGGGGACAGGGAGGAGCTATGGCCCCAGGGCACTGAGCTGTCGCATCTCTCTTCATCCTACTGGGTTTCCTGACACACAAGGAAGAACCGTTAGACTGCCCACTCCAGCACTGGGCTTCATTTCCCACTGCACCAGCCTGGGTGGTGATTTGCTCTGTGTGGCTGGTTCTGTGCATCCTTCTGGGGAACAGTTCCCGCGTGCAAAGGAAAGAGGCAAAATCTCAACTAAGCATCAGGCGAAGCTCACTCTCTGCTTCCTCTCCCCTACCCGGCTTGCCCACTACTCAATCCCCTCAATTCCAGGACTCTTGCTTCTGCTTCTCCTGACCCTGCAAGGGGGCATTCCAGTAGATTTTTTTTTTTTTGCATTGTTGTGGCTGTTGTGAAATTGTGCTTGTGTTTTGTGATTTCTTTGGGGGATATTGTCTTGACTGTTTTAAGTTGTTGCTTATATGGGAGGGTTGTGGGTGGGAGTGGGGAGGGCAGGGGGCCTAGAGCTCTAATTGTTTGTTTTGGAAGAAAAAAGAAAAAGAACAAAAAATATATATCACTCTAGAAAATAAATCTCTCCTGAGTCTCATTCTGTGTTGGCTGTCGTCTACCATAGGTAGAAATCTCAGTTGCTAAAAGCATAGCTTGGGAAAAAAGATTGCTGTGTTCCCTAAGTTTCTTCTTAGACCCTACAGACCTCTGGGCACTCACTGGTGGAGCTGACAGCTAGCTGATTACTACCCAAGGTGTTTAAATTGAGTAAGAGCCATTCAACAGGAGCACTAGGAGACTGGAAGAGGAAGAAAAGAAATATCTGTGGTTTGGAGAGGGGACTGGGTCTTCCTAGAGCAGGGGGTCTTCCACCAGACAGTTGCTCTGGAGACCTCTCCACTGTCTGGAGAGCAAGAGGGAAGGCAAGGCCTGCTCTATAACTCCTGGAAGAGGCTCTTCTCTCAGGCAACTGAGATCACCACTTTGGCTTGGGCACTTTAAAATACCATGCAAGGGAGGAAGGCAATACCCTCTCTGCTATTCCCTGCAGCAGAGTAGACTGGTCTAGACAGGTTCCAGGCTTGAGAACTTATTTGAGCAGCCACATAGGGTTCTTTGCACCCCCCACCACCACCCGGGTTTTTAGAGCCATGGAATAGCAGCCTTGTTCTGAGGCTCGCTGGTTGGGTAGGGGCTGAATGTGGAATACAAATGTCTCCGTTGGAAAAAAAAAAAAGAATTATCTTCCCAAACAGACCCCAGAATTAAGCTTGGTTTCAAGAGGCCCTTTCTGGGCCTCTCAGACTGCAGTGTCCCAGTCAGGGCTCTTTACAAACATCCCATTTTGGGGGATCCCTGCCTTTCTTCTCCAAGCCTTAGGATTCCACTGCTGTGGGGCCGGCGCTCCCGGGCTGGGCTGCCTCCTGCTGGAGCTTTTCACAGGCCCACCCCTGCCACACTGCAACCCGCGGAGACCCTGTGGATTGGGGTAGAGGAGGAGACAAAGACTGGCCCCAGTGAAGAGAGCCTGCAAAATGCCAGGCCTACCCCTCTCTAACGAAAGGATGAAGTGATCCTCTTAGAGAGGCAGAGATAGCGAGGTTCCCTTACGCCTTCCGAGGAGGGTTCCGTTAGGGATGGAAATGAATCTGGCTTTATAGCTGGTGTAGACTAGGTTGCCTGGCCATCCTAGGCTCCGTTGGCTCAGCCGGCGCTGAGATTGAGCCAAGGAGTCAGCTTGTTTCTTCAAAGGAAACGCAAAAGGCGAGGCTGGAGCCGATCGGAGTGCTGCAGGAAAAGGGGGCAAGGGAGCCTGGAGTGGCCTCGGGCGGCAGCTCCTGGGTCCCCAGCCCGGTGGCTTCTTTCAAGACAAACAAAGGCGAAGATGAGCATGGTAGTAAGCCGGAGATGAGGAAATCAGTTGTCATAAAAGAGAAATTCAGAGAGGGAGACCGAGAGAGTGCGAGGCAGAGAAAAGCCGGGAGAGGAATTCAATGCCGTGTGCGCAGCAATAAAAGAATATGACCGCTATAAAAGTTTATAGCGTATAAATTTCTGAAGGTTAAGAAACTAAACAGCAGCAAAGCAAACAGTGAGGGGAAACTTTCCGGAGCTGAGAAAGCCGCAGCTGGGCCTGGGCTCCCTGCCTGGCGGGGAAGGGGAATTGGTGGGCCCCCTCTCCAGCAGCCCCCACCCTCAGTCGCCCAGGACTCCAGGTTTGGGACTTTCGGGGAAGCCCACCCCCGAGACATAGAGGGGAGAAAAGAGAAGGAGAGTAACATTTTGTTGTTGAAAATGCTTCATAGATTGCAATTTGGACTCTTGTCTTTGTTCTTCACACCCTCCCCCCCCCAGAATCAGGCGTCTTAAGCAAGAAGGCCCTGCACACACACTCGCCCTCGTGCTCACGCACGCGCGCGCGCGCGCGCGCGCACACACCCACCCACCCACACACACCCCACACAGGTCTGGCAAGGCCAGACGTCTGGGCGAGAGGGCAGCCTCTTGATCCTTTTACAGTCCTATCCCCTCCTCTCAGGCCTCTTCTCCCCCCACAAATAGCCCAATTGTTACTCGTCTGAATTTGAAACAATAGTGTGGGGGCTGAAAAGTGCTTGACTCCCCCTTTTACGGACCATAAAGGCGCACTGCTTGGCGGTCTTCTGTAGAAGGGGCTGGTTGCAGGCGGGGGGCGCTGAAAGTAGAAAGAAAAAAGCTTATAACTTCCTTTTTTCTTCCTCCCGTGTTTTTTATTCTTTTACTTTATCTGCACAATTTCATGAACCGTTTCGTGATTCCAATGACTTTTCTCTAGCCCGCTCTTTCCCTCCCCCTTTTCTATTAATAATGAAAGTTTCTCTCGCTTGTCACCGTGGTGGCTGGCTCTCAGAGAACCTGGCAGAACCAGTGGTGGGAACCTTTTTGCAAAGCTGCCGCTAGATGGCACCCTTGCTCCACGTGAAAATTTCTGGTGCGGCGCCTACCGACTCTGGTTTATTCCAACACCGCACCTTGTTCGGGTCTCAATCTATGAACTGAGCGCTACCAAAAGTCATGAATAATTTGCACGTAATAAAAATATAGGGTTCGTTATGGTATTTCCACCCCATTTTATAGATTTCAGATATAGTAGTGTTCCCCTCCCCTCAAATGGTCAATTTTCTGAATTTCCCTCATGGGGGCTCAGTGTTTCTCGCCCAGTGGCTCTGTTCGGTTGGGCAACAAATGCGTAAAAACGGGGAATAAGAGTAATAATAGGAATAATGGGTCCAAATCAAAGAGAATTGACTTGGGAAAATGACATTTTCCGTCCAGGGGAGCAAGCGGAATGTCGACGGATGCGGGTGATCAGGTCAGGTGAGAGGGACAAACCGGCAGAAGAGGGACGGATGGAAAGGAAGCTGCCAGGAGGAGGGCTGCCCACACTGGCTGGAGAGGGAACCTGGTGAGCCAGTCCAGAGAAGGGGCAGTTTGGGGAGGAATGCAGTCTTGGCTTTTATGGGGATTCAGAGGTTCCCCAAGCGGTTGGGCCCCCGGGGTCGCTCCGCTGGAGCTCAGGCTCCAGAGCCTTTGTACCAGTCCGGGTCTGGGCTGGGCGCGCGCCTGGCGACCCAGGCGCGGGGTATGAGTTCCCCAGGGCGGCGGGTGCGGGAAGGTTCGGATATCTCCTCTGGATGCTCCACACTCCCCGTATTGATCGGGGTCGGGGGTCGGGAAAAGAGCGTTTTCGGGATAGCTGTGGGCGCAGGCACTGCGGCAGGGGGCAGGAGCTCGGTTCCCTCCCGCGTTCCGCGGCTTCCAGGTGAGAGCTGTGGCTCCCGCGCGCGGGGGGATCCAGCTCTGCTGCCCCCCTGCCCAGGCAAACCTTAGGGGCGCCGGTCTTTATGTAATTTAGCAGATGAAGGCCTGGACTCAAGCACTTTTCGTTCTGGCATCAGCGCTGTATCTGCCCACAGCACCTTCAAATCCAAATTTCCAAATTCCTCCCGAAGCCGCCAGATCCCTGCCTCCCCTCGGATAAACCTGCAGGAGAAATAGATAACCAACCCCGCAAAATTACCCCAGCCTCTTTTTTTTTTCCTCCCCAGAACCGGGTGCAAAGAGAAAAGTGGAGTTTCTTCTCAACTTGAGCTTCACAAATAAATCTATGCTCCATTGGGTGTTTATAAATTATCTTCTCTCTTTTTCTTGTTTTGTTTTTTTCTTATAATAGAAACATTTTCCTTCCGTCAGAAATTTCTGGCACGGTGTAGGGATGATTTAGAACAAGCCATTGAATTTCTACCTCCCTGGTAAGTCCTCAAATCATGACCATAAAATCCCCCGCACTTGATAAAAATGTTCGCTCCCTCAACAACTTGACTCTGCCTTCTGCTGCCTTACCGCCCCCTCAGCCTCCCGAAAATTCCAGATCCTCTTCCAGTCCCTTCTCTCCTCTTTTTCTTCTCTCTCCCTTCTCCCCTTTTGCTCTTCTCCCATTCTCTGGATTCACTTTTGAAAAACTGGGTGACCCCAGTGGTAACTTTCCTTCAGAAAAGGTGCTAGTTTCATTTTTATAAAGATTGGGATCCCCAAAAGGTCTCTAAAAGCAAATCACTCTTTCCTGAATAACAATGGATTGTATGTATTTGTCAGGCCACTTCTGCCTTTGCTTTCAGAATTTTTTTCTCTTTCTCTTTCCTTCCTTTCTTTTCCTTCCCCTATCAGACACCTCAGGAAACCATTGATTCTGACAGACAGGGGCCTTCTAAAGTCTGGGTACCACCACAGCTAGGCCAGGTATGTAGGGAGGCAGTGGGTCTGAGAGTGTGGCACACCATCAGCTTGGTTCTGCATTCTGGGTTTCAAGGCTCAGGTGCCCAGATCTGCAGGGAGGACAGGTTTAACTACAGGCTGCCCAAGGGACAAAGAGAGAAGATGGAAACCTCAGTGGTCTTGCTCTATCCCACTTCCCTCCACTCCAAGGTCAGTGGGGGTAGTGATAGTAACTCAAAGGGCCATGAGGATCCTGAGGAATAATAAGTGCTTCTCCAGAGCAAATATCTTACAGCCACTGCCTGGGGCAGTGGAGGGCATAGAACAATAGTAACCAAGACCAGTCACCAGGGTTTGGGTGGCTAGCATCAGCCTCCATTGCCTTTCCCTCTTTTGGTGGGTTGATGGGATTGACTTCCTCTCAAGGGAAGGTCACATAGAAGGTGTGAGGGATTGGCCCAGGAAGGTTGGATGCCCATTGGGATTGGTTACTAGGTTCCAAGGCCTAGTCGCAGGTGTGGGGCAGCCCTGTGAGGTGCCACCCCTTTGGTGGTATCAGGACCCTTTCCCCTCATTTTGTCTTCCCTGCAAAGAGCTGACTGGGCAAAAGTGCCTTCAGGAGACCCCTTTCTGCCCTAGCATTCCCCCAACAAGTAGATTGCAAAACTGCAGAATTAGCAGTTGCAGGGTGAACTTTGCTCTGGGCTTCACCACTGCCCATTAACCAGAAAGTTTCTACTATCAGTCCCTTTCCAAGACCTTCCAGACTCCTCCACAGAAAATCCTTTCTTGTTTGTTTAATGAGGGAAAGTTCTGCGAGTGGCCTGGGTGTGGCAGAGAGGGGGACAAGTTTGGGGTCTCCAGAGAGCTGGTGGGGGCAGGTGCCTATCACGGCTGAAGAGGTGAAAGTCTAGGAAAAGTCAACCGTTTGCACCGAAAAAAAGAAAAAGAAAAAAAAAAAAACACCATAATCGTTCTCATTTCGGCTTCGTCACCCCCACCGTGCTGCAGTCGGGCGGCGGGGGCGATCGAAGCTGCAGTTTTATAGCTGTAGAGGAAAGAACTCGTAAAATGCTAACAGCTTTTATGCGCTGCGGCATAAACAACAACAGACTCCGGCTTTATTGCGTTTTATAGTTTGTTAAAGAGTTTACAGCCGTTTTTTGGGGGCCGGTAACCCAGCCAATTCCCTCCACACGATAGTTAAACCTTTATCAATAATAAGGAAATTGATCATTAAAGCTTTAAATATGACTACCTCGTTTGTTTGAAAATATGTTTAGGAGAGGAAGCTGTATGATTTGATAACTTGTATTAAAATACCAATTACATTTATAGGACCTTTTAAAACTCGGCGCAATTAAACCGTGTTCTTTTACATTTTTCCGAAGCGACCCTGACATTTAGAAAGACTCCAATTGCCTCGTTAAAATCGCGAAATTAACAGCGTGCCTACGCCTGGCGCGTTGTGTGTGTGTGTGTGTGTGTGTGTGTGTGTGTGTGGTTTTTTCCGTGACTCCCCCACATCAGTCTTTGGGGGTGGTCTGCGAAGGTATTTGATTTGTTGTGAGGCGAGAGATATCTCATTAATGTAGGTAGTTAAACAGATTTAATCCGTATTCATTCTCTCACCCCCTCTCCCTCTCCCCCTCTCTCTCCCCCTCTCCCCTCTCTCTCCCTGGGTGTTTTTTTTTTCTTCCCCTCCTTTTTTTTTTTTCGCTCTCTCCTCACTCCCTGGCGCTCTCTCGCTCTAGCTCTCTCTCTCGCTCGCTCTCTCTCGCTCTCACCCTCGCTCTGCGTTCTGTCCGGGAGGAGTACGGAGAAGCCAATAGGATGCGGGGTCTCTAATGGATGCAAATGATCATGAAAAGACAGTGCAAAATATGAAACAACTCATTTGCAGGGAAGTAAATCACCGAAAACTGTTTATGAACTGGCATCCCTCCTTCGAAATGTAAAGCGAGGACCTCTTTAAGTGGCGGTATATTTTTGTTTGGGGGGTGGGGGGTGGGGGGAGGGCGAGCGAGCCGCGGCTGCCGTGCAAGCTTAGACTTTTGGAGGCTTCTCTGTCCTTTTCTATTCCTGGAAATCACAAAAAGTGTGGCGGCTTCCAGATCTTCTTCGCCTTTTCTTTCTTTTCTTTTTTTTCCTCCTCCCTTTCCCTCTCCTTTCCTGGCGAGGGTGACTAGGAGCCGGCGAATCCGCGTTTTTTTCTCTCTCTCTCTCCCTCCCTTTCCCCCTCCCCACCCCCTCCCCACCAGCCCCCAACTACAGCCTCCGCCGCCGCCGCCGCCTCAAAATTCAATAAAATGAGCTCTTATTTCGTCAACTCACTGTTCTCCAAATACAAAACCGGGGAGTCCCTGCGCCCCAATTATTATGACTGCGGCTTCGCCCAGGACCTGGGCGGCCGACCCACCGTGGTGTACGGTCCCAGCAGCGGCGGCAGCTTCCAGCACCCGTCGCAAATCCAGGAGTTCTACCACGGGCCATCGTCGCTGTCCACGGCTCCCTACCAGCAGAACCCGTGCGCCGTGGCATGCCACGGGGACCCGGGCAACTTCTACGGCTACGACCCGCTGCAGCGCCAGAGCCTATTCGGTGCGCAAGATCCAGACCTGGTGCAGTACGCAGACTGCAAGCTCGCCGCCGCCAGCGGCCTGGGAGAGGAGGCCGAGGGCTCGGAGCAGAGCCCGTCGCCCACACAGCTCTTCCCCTGGATGCGCCCGCAAGGTGAGCTCCCGTAGGGGCTGGCCAGGGCAGGAAGGGGCCGGGAGGGCCCAGGGCCGGTCAGGGGGCTGGGCAGGCCAGGGGAGCATTTCCTCCAGCTCTTGCAAGACTTGTCGGCTCTATTCCAATTTCCTACGCCTCTTTCTTTTTCTCTCTCTCTCTTTCTTCCTTCCTTCCTTTCTTCCCTTTTTGTTTCCTTTGAAGGGGGGTCGCTAAGCGACATTTCCTGAAGCCATAAACCCCTCACCCTACTTTACTTTTCTTCTTCTTCCCCTCCTTTTTCCCCCTTTTACTGTTTTATTGGGGGGTAGTGCAGAAAAGGGTGGTGGGAGTGGGGGCGCTCTCAACTTTTGCACTTCTCAATTGCTTTATAGTTTAATTACCCTGAAGAAACTTTTCTTCTGGGGCAGAGGCTCTGGGGGCTTTTCAAGGTGGGTCCATTAGTCCCCACCACAGCTTTTTTATTTTTATCCCCCCTTCACATCCTTCCTTCTAAACTTTATGGTACTTTTAATAGATTTCAACCACCCCCCACCCAACTCTGGGGCTGGCTATTAGAGGAGGGGGCTCCCCTTTTCTGACTCCCTTAGATTCAGTGGTGTCTAATTCTCCTCGCCCCCCCCCACGGCTGCCTCCATGCTCACCCCCCACCCCGCCCGGGGTAGAAGGTCCCCTGCTCTTATTATACTGCTCTACTAGGCTGATTCACGAATCTTCCAACCTTCTCTGCCTCTGCCCCCTCCCCCACTCTCCCCTCCCCTCCCCTCCGTCTCGCCCTTTCCCCCATTCCCAGCAGCCGCCGGACGCAGGCGAGGCCGACAGACCTACAGCCGCTACCAGACCCTGGAGCTGGAGAAGGAGTTCCTATTTAATCCCTATCTGACTCGCAAGAGGCGGATCGAGGTATCGCATGCGCTGGGACTGACAGAGAGACAGGTCAAAATCTGGTTCCAGAACAGGAGGATGAAGTGGAAAAAGGAGAATAACAAAGACAAGTTCCCCAGCAGCAAATGCGAGCAGGAGGAGCTGGAGAAACAGAAGCTGGAGAGGGCCCCAGAGGCGGCGGACGAGGGCGACGCGCAGAAGGGTGACAAGAAATAGGCTCCAGCTGGGACTACCAGGGCCGCGGCCACCCGCAAGTCCGCGGGTCTCCCCACGCCGCCGCCGCCGCCGCCCGCCCGCCCCCGCCTCAGAGAGCTCTGGCCCTGCGAGCGGGGCCAGGAGCCAGGCCTCCCACCGCAGCGTCCCCTGCCGCGCCAGTCCCCGCTAGTGGTAGTATCTCGTAATAGCTTCTGTGTGTGAGCTACCGTGGATCTCCTTCCCTTCTCTTGAGGGGCCGGGGGGGGGGGGGGGGGAAAGAAAAGGATTTTAAGCAAGGACTCCCTCGCCCTGCGAGGGTGAGCGGCCGTGGCCCGACTGAACCCCCACACCCCCGCCCCGTGTAAAAAGCCTCCTTGTGCAATGGTCTTTATTTCCTTTGAACGTGCTTCTTTGTAATGACCGAAGGTACTGATTTCTGCTAAGTTCTCCCAACAACATGAAACTGCCTATTCACGCCGTAATTCTTTCTGTCTCCCTCTCTCTCTGTCTCTCTCTCTCTCTCTCTTTCTCTCTCCCTCTCTCGCCGCGTCCTCATTTCCCCTCCCAACCCCTCTCTCCCTGCTGCCCTGCCTAGCTCGCTGGCTTTCTCTCTTGCTTCTCTCTTTTCCTCCCCACCCCCTTTGGTTTGACAATTTTGTCTTAAGTGTTTCTCAAAAGAGATTACTTTAGTTAGCATGCGCGCTGTGGGCAATTGTTAAAAGTGTTCTTAGGTTTACTGTGAAGAGAATGTATCCTGTATCCGTGAATTGCTTTATGGGGGGGAGGGAGGGCTAATTATATATTTTGTTGTTCCTCTATACTTTGTTCTGTTGTCTGCGCCTGAAAAGGGCGGAAGAGTTACAATAAAGTTTACAAGCGAGAATCTGAGACCCGCCCGGCCCGCGCTCCTCATTTGCTCCCAGGCGCCTTGCAGTGCTGGGGGTTGCGGGTCAGCAGGCTTCTGGGCCCGCTGAGGCTAGGCGCAGAGAGGAGGGGGCGGGGGCTGGAGGCAGGTGGTGCGAGTCCCTCGGCCCAGGGGCGCAGAGGGTGAGGGAGCGGCTGCATGTGATTGGAGGAGAGAGGGGCGAGGGAGGGAGCCCAGAGAAACCCCCTCCCCTCGCGTTCCGAGGTTGCCGGCCCCAGAGACCCCAGCGCCCAGGCCGCGCTGAAGAAGAGATGCGCCCAGTTGGTGACTGTATCCCCTGCCACTTCTCTCTTTGTTTCAGTGTATGTCCTCCCGTGGGAGGGGGGCGGATAAAGATGAAAGTGCAGGGCTGCTGAGCACGCTTATATTTTTATTTTTCTCAGACTTTGGTGGAGGGCGGGAGCCGGAGGGGAGGTGAGATCCTCCTCCCCACCTCTGCCTCTCTGAGATGTGACCTTCTTTGCCCAGTTCCGAGGCGGTGGCTCGCCGCCTTCCTTCCTTCTATGCCTCTGCTTCTCTGGCAGCCACGCTCGGCTGAAGCATCCGCCTCCCGGAACCAAGAAAGCAGAGAGCCCGAGCCCCAGGCCTCCTTCCTCCCTTCCTTTCTCTCCTCACCCCACCCCCACCCCGTTCCTTTTTTTTTTTTTTTTCTTCAAACTTTCCAATCCGTTTTATTTAGCCATCAGAAAGCACAGTGTCCGCCCGTGGGCTGGATCCCGTGCCTCAGAGCACCTACGAAGCCTTGGTCCATCTCCGACAGTATATGTGGGTCACCGAGAGAGAGAGAGAGAGAGAGAGAGAGAGAGAGAGAGAGAGAGAGAGAGCCGTGAGGCCATGCTCACCTCGTTCTTCACCTTGGGAGAATCGGACCAACTTCTCCTAAAGGCTTAGCGGAGATGAATTAGCTCGAATTAATAAAGACCTGATGTGCCCTTACCCACCCACCAAGTTGCGTGCATTCAGTCTCTGCGTTTGTCTTTCGCTCGGTAACGGACTGGGGGAAACGGGTGGGGGGTGACAACACGGATTGCTCAGAGGTTATTTATTTTCCCTTGAACTCAATTCCTTCCTCCCCAAATCTCGCCTGCAAGCTGCCTCCAGCCCGCGGGGGTCGACAGCGGCCCTTGAGCCCCCAACGCCAATCCACAGAGTTCGGCTTTCCCATTCATTATTGATCATATTTTATAAATCTAACGCCACACAATTTTTTCCACATTACCGGGAGCCGTGGGGAGGCCGTCAGGCCATTGGCAGAGGGGATGTCACGTGGGTGTGAGTCACGTGGTCTGGAGAGGAAAAAGGGGGTCCTTTTTGGTGTAAATCTGGACTCTAATTCTGTAATATATCAAGGAATCTCGTAAAACCGACACTAAAACGTCCCTGCCTACAAATCATCCGGCCAAATTATGAGTTCATTGTATTATGCGAATGCTTTATTTTCTAAATATCCAGCGGCAAGTTCGGTTTTCGCTGCCGGAGCCTTCCCCGAACAAACTTCTTGTGCGTTTGCTTCCAACCCCCAGCGCCCGGGCTATGGAGCGGGTTCGGGCACTTCCTTCGCCGCCTCGATGCAGGGCTTGTACCCCGGCGGGGGGGGCATGGCGGGCCAGAGCGCGGCCGGCGTCTACGCGGCCGGCTACGGGCTCGAGCCGAGTTCCTTCAACATGCACTGCGCGCCTTTTGAGCAGAACCTCTCCGGGGTGTGTCCCGGCGACTCCGCCAAAGCGGCAGGCGCCAAGGAGCAGAGGGACTCGGACTTGGCGGCCGAGAGTAACTTCCGGATCTACCCCTGGATGCGAAGCTCAGGTAACGCAGCGCATCGAGCCATCCCTAGTGGCAGCGGCCCGGGCACATTCCCCTGAAGGTGCCCCATTCCGGGCTAGGCTCCCCTTTTCGCGTCCAGAGTGCTCCGCGCGCCCGGGATCGGCCCTGGAAAAGCGGCACCCCGCTTGGCTGCGACCTGGCGCGCTGCCCCCACCCCCATTTTTCCTCGGTGCTTCTAGGCTTGCTCTGTTTCCCCGCGGATCTCTCTTCGCCGACGCCGCGGCGCGCAGAGCCCCCAGCCCGCCCCCTACCCTTCCTTCAGGCCTTTTAGCTTTAAATATTTATCAGCAGCGCTGGCACGGGTTGGAGACGCGGCCGTTTGTCTTGAAAAGGAAGGCTGGGGTTTGCAGAGAATAGCCATTAGGGTCTTCCCCCTCTCCCCCCACCCTTCTCCGCCTGGGATCTCAGCTCTGGGTGTGTCCCCCATCCCCATCCCAGCTTGGATAAGGTATGGGGGAGGGGGCCATAGCGTTAAGCAGTTCTCCCCTCCCCCTTCCTTCCCAGCCAACCCCGTTCCCCTATTATTCCCATTAGAACAATTAGAGGTGGGCTCTAGAGGCCTGGTGGGAGGAGTGGGTAGGAGACTTGAGGACCCAGCCAGGGACACAGAGCCAGAGATGCGGGGGGGGGGGGGCAGAAATCAAGAGAGATGAGGCTCCTAATCCTCCAGTGAACTTGGCGGGGAGGGGGGGGGCAGGAAAACTAAAGAAAAGACAGAGCCTTCATGGAAATATAGCTAGCTTTCCCAGGTTCCTTCCTAGGGCTCCTAGGCACCTAGAGAATTGGCCAACAAGTTTGGAGGTGTCATTAGAAGGGTGAGTCTCCTCTTGGGGGAGGGGCTTGGACTCCAAGGAGCCAAATAAGCCTCAGTGCAGAGCCACCTAATAGCTACTTCAGGAGCCCCAAGAGACCAGGACTTCTATTAGGTTTCCTGCCAAGCCTGGTTTATATATATATATATATTTTACACTACCCCAGGACAGATGGACTTGAACGCCAGCCCTACAATCCAGAAGACCCTACAAGCCTGTAGTCAGAAGCTCCTAACCTAGCCATTGTTGGGGGCCAAGAGGAGCCCAGTTCTTACATCATCAGTATTGGTGGTCATGGTCCCCATTACCTGCTCCCTAATTCAACTGTCTTTCTACTTGATTTATCAAAGCCCTAATTTTTCTGCTCATAAACATTTCAACTTGGCTTTTATTTGACTTGAAATTAGGGCCCTTAGTTACTTTTTCTCCTTGTCTCCTTTCCAGAAGGGCTGATGCCAGCTCCTCCCCCAAGTATCCTCAGGATTCTGGGCCTAAGTTAGGAGACTCCCATCTACCCTTCAGTCCCCACCACATATATACACCATGTTTCATTCTATCGCAGGCTGCTATTTTCACCCCCTTTGCTGTCCTGGAGGCCCAAAGATTGCTTTGGAGAACAGGTTGTCTGGGCAGGTGGGTGGGCAGGAAGGCAGACAGGAAGGCAGGGACTGCAGCCAGGCCTTAGCTGAACCCTGGCCACTTACTGGAAAAAAAAAATCATCAGAGGGCAGCTATTTCCAGACCAACTCCATGCTCCAAGATATCTGCCAATTTTCACCTCCTCCTCATTCCACAACAGACTGTGCAACACCCTCTCACCTCCCCCAGCCTGTGAGGCCTCTTTGTCTCCTAACTTCCTGGGAAATAGGCAAGGCCTGGAACCCTACTTCAAGGTCACTTGTATAGTTTCCAATCTTACCCCAAAGACCATTAGTGTCAACATTGAAAAGGGAATGCTTGGAGCCCCTGGACCCAGAGAAGACCGAGGATTAACCTCCCCTCATTCCGTATAAAAACCCCTTAGGAACAGCGCCTCGGAGAGCCAGCAGGTGAGGTCTTCCTAGTTTCAGAAGCTCCAGGATGAAAAAAGAATGGAAGTGTTTACCTTTGGAGGGCTGAGGAAAGTTCTTCACATTGAGGGACAGCATGAAGTATGGGTTAGGATATGGAAAGCAAGTATTTGCTTTAGTGGGGAAATGGACTTTTTCTGTCTATAGATTTCAAATACCCTGCTAGGTTTGAGCGAGATGGTTACTCACAAGGTTTCCCGCACTCACTGATATTTCTCTAAATACCGTGCACAGGAACCGACCGTAAGCGAGGCCGCCAGACCTACACCCGCTACCAGACCTTGGAGCTGGAGAAGGAATTTCACTACAATCGCTACCTGACCCGCCGGCGGCGCATCGAGATCGCGCACGCGCTCTGCCTCACCGAAAGACAGATAAAGATTTGGTTCCAGAACCGGCGCATGAAGTGGAAAAAGGAAAATAAGACCGCAGGCCCAGGAATCACCGGCCAGGACAAGGCTGAAGCAGAGGAGGATGAGGAAGAGTGAAGGACAGAAGAAGGTAGAGAAGAGCAAGGGAAAGAAGAATTCCAGTTCTGGGAACTGAACTCGGAAACTCAAGTCAATAGGGTGAAAAAAAAAAACTATTTAAATGAAAGCAGTTAAAAAAAAACATGGAGAGAAAAAGGTGAAATTTTGGTTTCTCAACACTGTAAAAAAAAATACTACCTATAGGAAACTGTTGGGTTCGTTTTTTTGTACAATATCTACTGTTCTGTAGCTTTTCAAAATTTGCCTCCCCTTTTCTATGTGGCTATTGTAAGGTCTTTGCAAAATTTTGCTGTTTTGTAAACCCCCTTGGATGCTGTCTTTGTGGACTGTGGGTCTGGAGGAGTGCAGCCTGTTTCTCACCCGTGTACCTGAGCCTCGGCCTTCCTAGTAGCAACACCAAAAGGGCATTAGGGAGCCCTAAGGACCCTACCAGTAGCTCAGTAGCTGGAGTGTCCCACCTTTGCCTGATTACTGCTCCTTGCTCCCACCAACACTTCCCTGAGCCCCACGGGTGCTCCTCTTTACATTCTATGTGTATCTGAAGGATGAAAAAATAAAACAATTAAAAATAAGCATGTGTCCTGTTTTCTGTGTCTCCCAGGGGTTGGGAGGGGATTAGGGTTAGTAATGGGTGGGTGACCCAGAATCCTTCCCTTCATCCTTCTGTAGCAGACCCTTTCTGTATGGGCTTGCTCTCTGCCCCCCAGACCCCTTGCTCTAGGACTGCCAACTTGTGAACCCCAATATTACATATGCACATATATTCCCTTTACACTCTTTTACACATATTGATATATACCAGTGCATGCTCGTGCACGCGCGCGCGCACACACACACACACACACACAGGCTGACATCACACATATATACACTGTCATATACAGTCACAAATAAACACAACCATATTCATATGTTCACAAATGAACATACAGGCATTCATACAATCAGGGCTCCATGCCCAGAACAAATGCATTCAAGTTCACACACACTCACAAGTAAACACACATTCACAGTCACTCAGACACACTGATAGATACCAATGCACATTCACACATTGGCTTATAAACAGAGATTCACATTTGCCCCCAAGTAAATATATCCATGAGCCCATACTCTCAGTCACACACTCACAAAATATAACAAAACAAAATTGAAAAATCTTGCAATTCCACAAACTTTCTTCCTTATGCAGGCCTTCGAAAAAGGCTGAGGGGTCTGAGCAGCCCCCTGGCTACAAATACAGAGGTGAAATCCAAAATGCTAGGCCTTATGAGAAAGAAGGGCGGATGGTAAGGGAAGGTGAACACCCAAATCCAGTCCTGCCTCTTGGGCTGTGTTGGGAAGAGGCCAGGCCCGCGTGCAGAGGCCTCCTGGCCGGCCCAGAGAAACTACCCGCACCCAGCTTTCTGCTCATTTGGCAAACATTTTTTTTTTTTGTCAAGAGCTATTCCTTTATTTTTATTTCCGTTTATTTTACTTTCATTTGATTTAATTTGTCTCACTCTAAATTGACACAGGCGACCCGTATAAACCTTAAAAATGGGCAAAAGGACTCCCGATTGCGAGAGCGGTGAGAATTTACCAGGCTGGTGTGAGTGTATCCCGGCCGCCGTGAGCCTGGCCGCGCTGACCGCCGGGTGCTTCCTCTTCGCTTTTCTGCCTGTTCGCCGCCGCCGGCAACCTGGAATCTTCTCAAGAGCACAGAGAAAGAGAGAAAGAGAGAAACATTTGGGGGAAGGTTATTTCGTTTCTTGTATTTGAGTTCTGATAGCTCAATTCAAAATTCAGGAATATTTTAGGGAACCTGGAAAACACGGGATGAATTATTGTTGTTGTTATTATTTTGCTCAGCAGAGCCTCAATAATAGGCCAAAACTCTGAAGGACGGTACCTCTACAGCTAGATTCTCAGAGCTGAATAAATGTAAAAAGCATTTATTTGATTGCAAACCCTGCATTGTTTAAATTTAAAGAATAGACATGGCGAACAGAAAGGGGATTGGAGGATTGGTTTTCAGAAAATCTGTTTAAATTGAATTGAAAGTAAAAGGTCCCTAAACCTGTAGTTTCCTTCATTAAAGACCAGAGAACCCCCTGGAGAGCGCCTGGACCGGCGCTTGGAAACTTGGACCAGCAGGCGTTTGGGCGGGAAAGGCTGGGATCCGGCTTTACCCTCCCCCAATTTCTGGGGTGCCGAATGGGAGAATCCAGTTGAAGAACTACTGGGTCTTGGCTCCCTTGCAGGCCACCTTCCCCTCTGGGCAAACACTAGGCCCTAGGGAATTTAGGGCCCCCACCCGAAACCCTGCAAGCCTCACAGGTGGGGGATTCCTACTATCTTTAGGACTAAGATCGAGGGGGTCAGGTCAGAGGGGGAAAGGAACTACTGAAGCTTTCATTTTGCCTTGATGCTGATGGCAACTCCTGTCTCACCTCCAAATTGCCTTAGAATAGTCCCATGAGGAGGATTTGGGGTTATTCTTTACTAGAAAAGAGAGGCAGAGCTCCTTTGAAAAATAGGGAGGTTCCAAAAAGAACCCCCTTCCTAGCTGGACCCTTGTGACTTCTCCATCCTGAATTCCTGAACCCCAAATCTCACCCTTTCTCAGACTGGGGTTTCCCAAAAAGAGAGAAGGAGAAGAAAAGAAGATGGCGACTGAGAAAAGGGTTGCTGGTGGAGCAGCCATGAAGAAATGCAATAAATTCCTTGTTGTTTTATGAAAATTTACAACTTTGTGATAGAAGTTTATGAGTGGTTGAATCCAGCGATTGGCCGGCGCCGGTCATGTGGCCGGGCGATCGTGAACATGAACTTTTTATCATTTCCCTGGTGGTTATAATGCAGCATTCTTTTGGACACCACACCTAGGTCGGAGCACTGTCGTCCTTCAGGGCTCCAGCCTCTTGATATTTTTATACTTCAATATCAGCTCAATAGAGCAAAAGAGAGAGGGAGAGAGGGGGGAGAGGAGAGAAGAGAGTGAGAGAGGGAAGGAGGGGTGGGAATTACACACAAAAGAGAGAAAGAAAAATAATTTTGATTCTTAAGTTAATTTGCTTGCTGATCTGGGATTTTAGTCATCATGAAGGGTAAATGGACAATCTACTCAGGACTGCAGCCTGATACCCTTTTTCAAAGACAGAACTTACTCCATTTTCTAAGCAAATGTCAGAAAAAAAGAAACACCCTCTCTCCCAAGTCAGAGAAGGGGAAGCAACGGCTCTCAGGTTGGGACAATATTATCTGGAAGCTGAAAGAAGAAACCGAACGCTTTTCCCCCCTCCTTTCCCACTCTTTTCAATCCGGAGGAAAAATCTGCCAAGGTCTTCAAAGGTAAGGGAGATTCTACAATACTCTTCATATTCTTCTGCATCGCTTTTGTAGGGGGTGGGGCTTGGGTTTTTCTCCCCCCCACACTCCAAGAAGGGGCTGAACCCCACCTCTGGGGCTGCAGGGAGAGGTTTCCTAGGAAATTCGGTGGTGGAGAGAGGGGTGGCCGCTCTCTGAAGGGGGATCCAAAATCAGAGATTATGGGAGGGGAAACCGAAAGGGGCCACTGAAGCCCAGCTTCTAGTCTCCTTTTTAAGCTGGGAGGAGAGCTCAAGCATGGGGGCTGCGAAAGAGAGGATGGGGGTGTCTGGGCTTCAGCGGCTCTGGCCGGAAGAAGCCAGTCGCTACAACCCCTGTGGGTTTGTGCTCCCTCCCCCTTTCACCATCCCTCCCTGATCCGGGCCTCCCCCAATTGCCCCCGCGCAGTTCTCTTGCCCAGTGCGGGTATCGGCGATTTCCCGGCAGCATTGGCACGAGGGGCGGTGGCGCTGAGGGACGTCCTGGTCTCCGTAGGGCCTGGAATCTCCGCAGAGGCCAGAGAGGGCGAGGAGGCGGCTAGAGAGACACAGAAAGAACAATTCACAGAGAAATGTTCACTATCTCCCTTCGGAGACATTTCCGGAATTAAAGGGCTGTGGGTGGAGGCACCCCAAAGGAGGGAGACTCCCCAAGAAGTCTGCTTGAGAATGCTCAGGTCTCTCGCCACTCCGCAAGAGGGAACCTCGTTCTGCAGGGAGTGAGTTTTGTGGTTTTAATGTGGTTTATAGCATGTTGGTTTCTGGGCAATATTGATTCTAATACTTGTGTTTTATTGGTATGGGGCATATGGTTTTCAGTGGAGAAGAAAATTGTCATATATGTCTGATATGAAAATATTTCAAACTTTCCTGGATCCAAACGTGATGATTGTAAAGAGCTATTTAGCATGTTGTTTTAGTCTTGTACACAAAAAGAAAACAAAGAAAGGAGAAAATTAAAAGAGTGGTGTCAGGACTGGAAAGCCGTCTGGTGCTGAGCCCAGACAGCTAGCCTTGTTGCTCTGGTGCATGGTTTCATCCCTCAGTCAGGCCTTCTGGGTTGGGGGATGGCAGAGAAGAACTGCTGGGTGGGAGACAGGTTCCTAAAGTAGCTGGTGAGGTGGAAGAAGGAACAGGCGTGGAGGTAAGGACTAAAAAATGGGGTGAGAAGGCTTCTGGAGAAGCTGCAAGCTGTTGGGCACAGAGGTTGGGGAGACACTGATTTAGTTTGGTTTGCACCCATAGGTTATTGTTTTTTCTTTTTTATGACTAGATGCAGGGCGTTCAGACTCAGGCCTGTTTGCTTGGGGGGTCTAGTTGTGTGCATGTGTGTATGTGTGTATTGGCCTTCTCAGTCCTGAACTGGAAGGAGAGGGAGACACAGCCACTTGTGGCACGGGAGGGGGTGTCCCTGGGGGCCCAAGTAGATGCCCTAGGCACAAGCCTGGGCTGGGATCCCAGAGAGACTCCTTGGCTTTGGGGCAAAAGAAGTTCTTCGTTAGCGCCCACGGTACTCAGGGCCTATTATTAACAGGAAAATTCCCCCAAACCCACCCAGACTAAAGGTCTTTTTCTCCCGTAGTCTTGGCGGGTTATAAATCGTCCCTTAGACAGTTTGCTCTGACCCAAATTATGCAGTTTGCTGCCATCTACCGTCCGTTCAGAGACAAGCGCGCGGCTTAGGTGCTGCAAGCCAGACGACGCTGCCCCAGCGGTGCCCGTTGGAATTTCTCGCAGCGGGGTTCCGCAGGATTCAGGGGATTTCGGGCCCATACCGACGCTGTCGGCTGGATCTTGGTTCAGAGATGTGATTTGAAAACAGAATAAATCTCCTCCTCCCCATACACTATCCTCAATCCCTCTCCAATCTCTTCCAACCCTCACCCATCCCAATCCCAAACCTGGAGGCTGGCAGAGGAAGCGGCTTCTCTGAAGGCATATTAGAGAGGACTGATACTGCAATCCTGGGACCCGGGTATTGAACCAAAGGGTCGGGGGATCAGAGCCGTGACCCCCACCCTATACCTAAGGCACCAGAGAGGATCTGGGCCGTGGAAGAGATCTGAAGTCAAGGCTGTTGGAGGTTTATTTGGTTTTCTTCTCAGCCAAGGGAGGGGGCCGGTCAGGAGAGTCGCCAGCCCGGCAGTTCCACTTGGTTGTCAAAAGACAAACCGAGTCTGTGTTCTTACAGTTGGCTGGTAGGTCTTGCCAGTGCCTTAGCTGATGGGTCCGTGGTGAAGGAATTGAACCGAGTTTTCTGGAAATTGTTGGTGTCTGCAAGTGAGTGTTGATCCCTTCAAGAGAAATCGACGCAAGTATGCTTTGGGGGAAAATTGAGAGTGGGAGTGGGGATAAATCATGAAGGAATTTCCGTTTCTGCGGGACCCACACACACCCGCTTAATGCGATTGCTTTCCCAGAAGGGGGTAGGAGGCCGGGGTGCGTTCCTCTGCTGCTGCCGCGTTTGAGTATTGGCCCCTGTCTCACGGGTTACTGATTAGCTCGGGCTTTCAAGCCGCAGGAGGAAGCTCTGGCCGCTCCTTTCAAGGTGCGCGGCTCCAATTCCTGGGCGGGGGCTTCAGGAAATTGCCTGTGGTGCCAGGCAAGCCGAGGTGTTACTAGAGTCTGACCAAGAGCTGGAGGAGCTGGGGAGGTCTAGGCGCCCGGCAGTGCTGGGGCAAACACCACCTCTGCGGCCCCCTTGGCGCCTCTTGAGTCTGGGCCTCTGGGGCAGCTCTTTCAGCTTTTCGGCAGCGAGAGTGACTTTCTGGCGGCTGGATGGCCTGGCTCAGTGAGTCGCTCTGCGGGAGGCCCAGAGGGAGCGGGCGGGAAAGTCTTGGGCCCCTTAGAGATTTTTTTTTTCTTTCGGGCAATGGGAAGAACAAATAGGGAGGGAACTCAGGCTGGTACAGAGGCTTGAAACACCAGGGGATTTAAGGGTGCCTGTGGACACAGGGGAAAGGAACAAGGAGAGCCGCTGATCGTCACCGCCCACTCCCCTTAGAGATCAAAGAGGATGTCGCTCATTTGCATAATGGAAATGAGGTCTTTGTACCTGGATTTGGACCAGCCGATTTTAAGGCAAAATGTCTAATGTAAAGGGCCTCTCTCTACCTATGGCAGCAACCACACCGAACCTCTGCGAACATTTGTTTCCCAACCCCAGGCAATCAGAATCCATGCGGAGAATTGAGGTGTTTTTATCTGCCCCACCCCAGGCAAAGTTGGGGGTTGGGTGGAGGATGGTGCCCATAATCTAAAGAGCTGGGAAGGGGGCTTTGAATAGAGTCTAGAAAATGAGAAGCCTGGACAATGTCTCAATCCCCCCTTCCTTACAGGCAGATGCCTGTCCTAGAGGTTACCCAGGAGGGGAATTTTACTCCTGAGCTGAACACAACTTAGGAAACATTTTCCTGGGAACTGGAATGTACATGCTTACCCACAGGACTGCAGACTCACTCAAAATACAGAAAATCACAATTATAAATTCCGCCTGTAGGGATCCATACCACCCCTCTGTTGTGTACTCGAGACTTGGTACACATTTATACCCACATCTCTGTATACACTTCTTAATTGAGGCAGAGAGAGAGGGAGGGGGGAGACCACAGAATGGCAGACTGCTGTGTATTTACATATTCCCCCATGGAGACAGAGGAACATGGACCGAACCACAGACAGATTCGTGGAGATCTGGCTCCAGAAACCAGGCAGTCTCTGGCCAGGCCATGCCTGCCTGCTCTTTTTCCCAAACAAACGGATCAGACGAATAAACGCTCATAAATACCTCTGGGCTTAGATAAGAGCGATGAGGCGCTATTTCCTTTCATGCCCGACTCCAGGCGCCGGCCCTGCCTGTAGTGGCTCCATCTCCCAACAGGCAACCTGCAGAGGTGAGGTTAATTTGGGAACTGTGACTCTAAGGATAAGGCAAATATTTTCCTGCTTCTATCACAGGGGAAGGGCCCCCCTCTTTCACTGCCTCTTTCTCTGCCCTTACTCTATAGGGAAGACCACACTGTATAGTCCTAAGGTAGGGACTCTGTGACCAGGGAGGAGGGTTGAGGCTCAGGGCCTAGCCTCAGTTCAGTGGAGAGGTCAGTGCATATAAGCACTCTTCTCTACCTTTCACCCCTGCTCAAACAGCCCCTACCTATGTGCCCAACCAGAGAGAGATTAGGGCATGTTTGGGGGATTGAGTTTCAGTCTTAAAATGCTCATCATAACCCCCAGATAGTCAGGCTAGGAAATGATTGGAGGGACATCCAGGGATGGCCACTTTGCCATGAAGGTGCAACCTAGAAGTTTACCTGAGTTCAGAGAGCCTCAAATAACATTTTGCAATGAAATAAGTCCCCACCCTCAGTCAACTTCAGCCTTCTACCACCTTCCATCATTAGTGGGCAGAGCAGGCCGACAAAAAGGAGTCCAAAGAATGAGGCAAAAGTGCATCAGTCTGGCCTGATATCAGATTTGTCTCACACCCTGACCCCTTCTTGTCCCCAGGTGGGAAGGTTGTCACCCTTCACTGCTTAGCCTGTGAGTGCTTATTAGAATGTTGGAAACACACTGGGGCCCTGTCTCCTAGTCTGGGTTCAATGCTCATTTTCTTTGAGTAATAGAGAAGGCACAGAGATGTACATAGTCTCTCACACCCAAGCTTGTACAGAAGCAAAGCTAATGATACAAACATGAAGCAAGAGAGGGGATTGTAGAGAGGCTTAGAAATAGAAGGGTTGAGTGCCTGGAGAGGAGATATGGGCTGATGACTGGAAGATGGGCTGCTAAGTCCCCAGGAGGACCTGAACATCCCTCCCTCCTTATAAAACTAAACCCAAACCAAGTCTTGGGAAATAATTTTAAGAAGTGTCAGCTTCTAGAGAGATCTTAAAAAGAAACCAGGGCTCTTCCCGGTGGCCTCTGATCGCTGTCAGTATCAGTACAATCTCTTCCTTGTCCCCAGATTCACTGGAACATCCTTGATTCTTAAAGACCCATAGCCCAGGATATTCTTGTATCATTTTGGGTGGGAGGCAGGGTCAGAGTGAGGATTATAGGTAGGATAGGGATCAGACAAATAAAGCTATCTAAGCTGGGGGTTTCTCCTTAACTAGGTGGGATGTCTTGGGAAGGAGCCTCACGCTTTGAAATAGCTACTAGCCTAGCTGCAGAGCAGAGGAGGAAGCCTGAGCTCATGCCCTGCTGCCATTTCCCCCTCTTCTGTGTCTTCTAGGCAGAGGATCTGGCCTGCTCTCTCAGACCATGAGAGTTGTGGGGGAAGCAGGGATAACAAACCCAGACTTGGAGAAGAGAGAGCAGACCTGATAAACAGGAAAAACGATTTGATTTTCAAAACCTGGGTTGAGGGTGTTTTTGTCTTCCCTTTCGAATTCTGAAACGATGCAAATTAGTGGATAACTCTGCTTTCTTTCTGCCAACACAAAACCCTAGAAACCAACCTCCCTTAATTTTCTCTTGAGGAGGTTCAGAGACATTTGCCCAGCCCTCCCTTGAGGGAATAGGTCCAAGCAACGCAGGGGTTAACTTTTCTGAAAACACAATTAACTTTTTCCTATCCTGCGTGGAGTGGGGGAGGGATGTATTTATTTAATCACTGAGGAATGGGGTGGTCTCAAACCAAATGCTCCCTCCTCCCTCAAAGGCACAGACGCCTCTTTCGCAGATCTTACGTAGGTGGAACAGGACGTGTTGTGTTGTAGGGGAGAGAGAGAGAGAGAGAGAGAGAAAAGAGAAAGAGAAGGAGGAAAAAAAAAGGTTGATAGGTTTGTGCGCGGGTCCCTCGTGCGAGCTGCGCTCCTCCTGGGTGCTATTTGACAATTCCTGCCTCTGCCATTGGTCAGTGTTGGATCAGATGGTTGTATTTCCTTCTGGCCCTCACTGGCACCTCGCCATCCCCCCTCAGCTAAAACCCAATCTCGGATATACTACTAATAGGCGCGGCGCTCGGACTATAAAACACAACAAATCATAAACCCGGCGGAGCAGCAGCGGCCTCGCGCGCCTCCCCTCCCAATGAGTTCCTATTTCGTGAACTCCACCTTCCCCGTCACTCTGGCCAGCGGGCAGGAGTCCTTCCTGGGCCAGCTACCGCTCTACTCATCGGGCTATGCGGACCCGCTGAGGCACTACCCGGCACCCTATGGGCCCGGGCCCGGCCAGGACAAGAGCTTTGCGACTTCCTCCTATTACCCACCAGCCAGCGGCGGCTACGGCCGAGCGGCGCCCTGCGACTACGGGCCCGCCCCGGCCTTCTACCGCGAGAAAGAGTCGGCCTGCGCGCTCTCGGGCGCTGATGAGCCGCCCACGTTCCACCCTGAGACTCGGAAGTCGGACTGCGCTCAGGACAAGAGCGTGTTTGGCGAGACAGAAGAGCAGAAGTGCTCCACTCCGGTCTACCCGTGGATGCAGCGGATGAATTCGTGCAACAGTGAGTGAGACTTTCAGTCTCTTCCCTCGCGGGCCACAACCCGGGAAGATGAATTAGCGAGCGCCACCCCCAATCTCCCCAGGACTGCTGGGTGGGCATCTCAGAAGACAGAGCCAGATAGGGCGTTGCACGGGGTCTTGCTCACTGTCCTCTTCTCCGCAGTAGTTGCAAAGTTTGCAAAGTCCCAGCTGTACTGGGAGCCAGGGGGAGTGAATGGGCTCTCCTGGAGAGCCAGGCCAGAGCCAGGGTTCCTGAAGGGAACAGGGGCCACAGTCAATGGATTTGTTTTTCTTTGCGCCCCTCACTCATTCCCCAACCCCCCAGTCTTGATCGGGTCCCCTATCCAAAGACTGCTCCATTAAAAACTGAGTGCGAAAAAAAAAAAAAAACTGAGTGCGTCATGCAAGGGGTGGGGGCGTTGTGACGCGGAGAGTTGAGTCTGTCCCGGGCTGTTTCCCGGGGTGGGGTGGGGGGCGGGTAGGGCTGGGAAATGATGGGGTACCAGGAAAAGGGTGGCAGTCCCGGGGAAGGAGGAAGAATGAGAATTAAAAAGAATAGGAACAGATGGAGCAGGGAGAGACGTTGAAGTAGGCTCCTGGGTCTCAGGTTAGATTATTTGTAGGCCTTAAGTCCCAGTAGATATCCATTAGAGGGACACGAAAGTGAGGAGCCCTTGATGCGGACTATGGATCGATCCACGTCATTATGGATTAAAGGCCCAAATCTATCATTGGGTGGATTGAGTTGGGGGGAGCTAGATGGATGGAAATGAAAAGAGGTGGGGGGATTCAGCTAGGAAGGGACACACCTGGCCAGCCCCTCCCCTAAACTCAGGTGGGAGTTCAAAGTGCTCCTCCCCTCCCCCACCAGAAGTCTAGACTGAAGGCAAAGGCCTAGGAGTCCGGGAGGGAATCTGGAGGGGGCGCTGGAGGAGTGGGGAAGGAAATGGGGGGAGAGAGGGCATTCCGGGACAGGCTGTAGTCCACGTTTAAGGGTCGAATGGGGGAGGGGACTTTGGGCCCGGTGACCCCAGGCCTCAGCGTCTTCATTCTGCGTAACAGGTTCCTCTTTCGGGCCCAGCGGCCGGCGAGGCCGCCAGACCTACACGCGCTACCAGACGCTGGAGTTGGAGAAGGAATTTCACTACAATCGGTACCTGACCCGGCGGCGGCGCATCGAAATCGCGCACGCCCTGTGCCTGACCGAGCGGCAGATCAAGATCTGGTTCCAGAACCGGCGCATGAAGTGGAAAAAGGAGAGCAAACTGCTCAGTGCGTCTCAGCTCAGTGCGGAGGAGGAGGAAGAAAAACCAGCCGAGTGAAGGTGCTGGAAAGGGAGGGGGGACGCGAAGGGAGAGGCCTGTGGGGAGCTGAGGGCGTCGGAGAGCCCGGAGAAGGCTCTGCGGGCGGGGGAGCCTAGGGACCTGCTCTCCAGCGTGCGACAGGCGGGGCCCAGTGTTCTCCTGCTCGCCCCCGTCCGCAGAGCTCTAGCCTAGTGCTCCGAGGCCCAGCTGCCTGAGCCCACCCGGCACCTCAGCGCCTCCTCCCTCCCAGAGGAACCAGCCTTGGCCCGATCAGGCTCCCTGTGAGAAATGAGGATCGGACTCACTTGATGTTTCCTGGAAGCAGAGCAAAATGCTCTTGTCCGTGTCTCGTCTCATTTCGTCCATGTCCCCTGTGCACGGTTCAATGGTAGATTCGCTGTCCCCTCAGCAGGGGCCTTGAAGAATCCCTAACCCCAGACTTGTCGTCCCTCCTCCCCTCTCCCCAAAGCCACTGGAAGGAGCACATACTACCTAGACGTAAGAAGAGAAGCCTCAGAAGAAAACAAAGTTCTATTTTATTAATTTTCTATGTGTTGTGTTTGTAGTCTTGTCTTAGTTCTGGACGTGAAATACTTCGGTAATTATATTAATATTATTAATAATGATAATAATAATAAAGACATGAAAACTCGCCGCTCAGTCACCTCCAATCTTCCCCCGTATTTTTTTCCCCTCCCCATCCCACATCCCAGCTACCCCATCCTTCCTGAGCCTGAACTCAGGAGCTCTAGGCTGCCCCAGGGCCTTGCCAGCCACCTGGACTCCATGGAAGTACTGTTGAGATGAAGGCTAGAACCATCGGTCTGCTCAGGCCCCAGAACTGTGCCTGCCTGATGCTAAGCCTCACAACTGCCTCTCCTGGTGCATATCCAGAATGGAGAGGGGCCCTTTCCCTCTTAGTCTGTAAACTTTCTTAGTTTGTCCAGGACAGGAAGGACACCACTGAGGGCCCCTTGCCCAAAGCCCCTGCAGTGACTGAGTTGGGCCGGTCTGAGTGCCTCAGCAGAGCTTTTGTGTCCTTGGTGAGGTGAGGCCCCTGGTCTCTGGCTGTGGCTCTTGCTCCTGGCCTGTGGCTCTGGAAACTGAAAAAATGGGGCCACTGGGCATCTCTCCACTATGCAGCTGAAGGCTCCAGGTACCTCTTTCCATCTCAAATAGGAGCTCAGTGATAAGGAAGAGAATGTGAAGTCTGGGGTAGGTGTGAGGCCAAGGGCACAACTTTCCCCTGCTCCTTGGAGACTCAAGGGCAGGAGGGCAGGTGATGAGGCACTTGATCTCATTCTCTTATCCCAAAACGGCCCTTCTCTCTCCACCTCCACCCTTACCCATGCAGCTAGCTGCAGACATTGTTTTCCTTTCCTTCTTCCTCCTCCCTCTCTCCCTTTTTTTAATTTTTTATTTTTAAAGAAAACAGCTCCTGGCAGAAGGAGCCCAGCTGCAGCGGTTTCTGGCTGCCCAGCTTGCTCAGCAAGACGCCACCAGTCCAGGGAACCCCTTCCCAGGGAAGGCGGTAGGTCTATGGGCAAATTCAAACTGCCCAGCTGTCAGAAAGGGGCCTGGAGTGGTGCAAGTTGGCATATGGAGACAAGGTGAAGGGTCTGCTTTAACCCCAAACTCTCAGGCACATATTAATAACCAAACTACAGCAACCCCGGGCTGATGCAGCAGTCTTTTCGGCAACTAGGCCACTTAATTCCAGCTGTGTTAGCCTTCTAGGATTCCTGTCCTGATCTGCCATTCTCAGGCCTGGGATAAGGATGATGAGGTCAGGAAGATGATTCCAAATTTCCAAGGGACCTAGGAGAAGTAAGCTTTTCTGTGTCTTGAAGCTTCCAGCCCAGCTTCGCTGCTCAGCCTGGGGGCTGTGGATCGGCCACTGCAACCCCACTAGGAAGCAGGCTGGACTGAACATGGTGGGGGAGACTCCTTGTAATAATTGTTTTTCACACACAACTTCCAACCCTTTATCCCCACTTATGCCCCCAACTAGCAATGACCCATTAAGGGACAAGCAACTCAATCTTTGATCATTTCATCCACAGCCAAAATAATAATGACGGTAATTTGATAGACAAGGCACAAATAGAGAAACTAACGCCACCCAAGAAAGTGGGTAAAAGGCTCAAACCCCTCTTCTAGAAGGCTCAACCCCGTGAGTGAGCCACGGCCGACCGGATTTCTTTCTCGCTTGGCGGTTGCAGGGAGCCAGCAGGGAGGCAGCCGCCGACGCCATGGCGGCCTGCGGTCCGCGCTCCCGCAGATCGCCGGGAGGTGGCGCGCTCTGCTCAGAGGCCAACGCCAACCTTCTCGGTTTCTCCCCCTTCTCCTTTTTCCCCCCTCTCGGAGGCTCGCATTGAATCGGCCCTAACGATTCTCGGATCGTCATTATTTGTAACCATAGAGCATGAATTACCTCTTGAGGTCATCAGCGAGAATTTACGACTGGTCAACAAAAGCACGTGATTCCCTAACGCCCCCCCATCCCCCTTTCAGCCCCCCCCCCCCATATTTGGCCGCATACATAGCAAAACGAAGTACAGTGCATCGCTATAATTCATTAATACATCATAAATCGTGAAGCACAGGGTTATAACGACCACGATCCACAAATCAAGCCCTCCAAAATCACCCAAATGAGCTCGTACTTTGTAAACTCCTTCTCGGGGCGTTATCCAAATGGCCCGGACTATCAGTTGCTAAATTATGGCAGTGGCAGCTCTCTGAGCGGCTCTTACAGGGATCCCGCTGCCATGCACACCGGCTCTTACGGCTACAATTACAATGGGATGGACCTCAGCGTCAACCGCTCCTCGGCCTCCTCCAGCCACTTTGGGGCGGTGGGCGAGAGCTCCCGCGCCTTCCCTGCGCCCTCTCAGGAGCCCCGCTTCAGGCAAGCGGCGTCGAGCTGCTCCCTGTCCTCGCCCGAGTCCCTTCCCTGCACCAACGGTGATAACCACGGCGCCAAGCCCTCTGCTTCGTCCCCCTCCGACCAAGCGACCCCCGCCAGCTCCAGCGCCAATTTCACCGAAATAGACGAGGCCAGCGCGTCCTCGGAGCCTGAGGAAGCCGCGAGCCAGCTAAGCAGCCCTAGCCTAGCTCGGGCGCAGCCAGAACCCATGGCCACCTCCACAGCCGCGCCCGAGGGGCAGACTCCTCAGATATTCCCCTGGATGAGGAAGCTTCACATCAGCCATGGTAATTCTGTCTCTCTTTTTTTGTCTTCTCGGCTTTCCTTCTCTGCGTTTGGGAGGGGGGACGAGGAGAGCTTGAGGAAGGCTTTTCCTCAAATATAGATTTATTTTTCTAAAGGGGAAGAAGTCCCTAAGAGGATTCTCACAGCTCCGTGGACAGAGCCAAACAGGGTCTTTTGCTGGGAGGGGGGGATATTTTAAATAATTTGTTCCCAGGTTTGTCGTAGGTTTTATTCATCCAGCCAGTAAGCCAGCTTTACTCTGAAGGTTGGGGTTTATGTAATGTGGGGAAGGGTCCTGCTTACCCCCAGAAAATTCGAGACTACCGCTGGCAAAGGAGGGGTGAGCAGTAAAAGGAGCTTTCTAGGGCAAAAGTGCAGCCGCTCTCCTCCCTCCCGGGGCGAGCGGCCGCCTGAGCCCAGCGAAGGGTGAGGCACTGGGAGGGAGCAAGAGACAAAGCCGGGCGCATTCGCTGCCAGCAAAAGTAGGAGCTGAAGGAGAAACGGACGCAGAAATCGAGCCTGGACGCGGGCATCTGGAGTGGGGAGGATGGGAGCTGCGTGAGCTGGGTGCTGGGGATGCCCGGGTCCTGCTCCCCGCCCCCTCCCACCCAGTGCCCCCCTCCTGTAACCAGAATAACTGTTGCCTTGTGGCTCTACTCTCTCTACTCCAGATATGACCGGGCCGGACGGGAAAAGGGCCCGGACCGCGTATACCCGCTACCAGACCCTGGAGCTGGAGAAGGAGTTCCACTTCAACCGCTACCTGACCCGGCGGCGGCGTATCGAGATCGCCCACGCGCTCTGCCTGTCTGAGCGCCAGATCAAGATCTGGTTCCAGAACCGGCGCATGAAGTGGAAGAAAGACAACAAACTGAAAAGTATGAGCCTGGCTACAGCCGGCAGCGCCTTCCAGCCCTGAACCCGCACGGAGGAGCTCTGGGCAGCCCCACAGCCCGGGCCACCCCCAGCCCCGACCCCTCTGATCCTCCCTGCGCTGCCGCTGACCGCTGGGGACCGGTTCCCATGAGCCTGCCTCACCCTGGCCTTGTGTTACAATTTTTCGTTCGGTCTTATGTCTTCCCGTGGCTCCCTCTCTCCTGGACTTGTTATCTTGTTATTATTGTTAATAATAATAATAATAATAATAATAATCCTTATTATTTTCCCTCCATGCTCCCCACTCCCCTCTGCTCGCCCCAAATCCGCCAGTGTTTCTGAATGTTCGTGTCTGTGGTTGCGCTCCTTTCCCCAGGGGAAAAAAAAAAAGAAATTCGCATGTTTAATGTGAACTTTCCCCTTCCCACCTGTGTTCTAACTTATTTATAAAAGAATGATAGCTGTATTTTTTGAGTTTCAGCTGGAAACTTCGCTAAGAGGCAGCAATTGAGGTGGGGTGCCACATCCCCAGGCCCAGCTGAGCTGGCCTCTGAGATGGAGTCCATGACTGTGTCTATTTTCACCCCCCTCCTCCTTCTCCTCCTTCCTCACTCTCAGGGCCCATGTCTCCCAGTGACTTGGTCCTGGGCTGAGAAGGGGCCAGGGAGTACCACAGGATGATGTTGAGAAGAGGGAAGGAAAATAGTGAGATTTTAAGTTCCTTCTGCCTGGTAGGCCCCACAAGGCCTGGTCTGGGAGTGTGCAGAAACAAATAATACTCAGTGTAAAATGTCTTGTGTATTTCTCTGTGGGTCTAGCTAGAGGACCCAAAGCTTGTAAATATGGGGATAGTCTGGGTCAGACCCATCTCTTCCTCCCTATCCATTTCGCTTCCAAGGCCATTTGTAGTGAGTGAGTGGATGCTGTGCTATGTGTGAAATCTGTCTTTGCCAGGCCTGTCTCAGTGGTTTGCTTTTGGTATTTGTTTGTAGCTTTCCTTGAAGTCAAATAAATGTTTCCCCTACTCCATTGCCCTTCCACTTGTCTTTTCTCCAGGGGGTCTGCCTCTCCCACCACCTGGCATACCCTAGGATCATTCTCAATAAGTCTAGGATTTAGGGAAGGGCAAATAGGATGCTTACCAGCAGGCTTTCTTAATCACCTAAGTTCCTGGCTTGGTCAATGCTGCTTGGGCCAAGAAACAGGCCTTCATGACTGGAGGACTGAGGGCCAGAAACCTCAGGTGGGGCCGAGATGGGCTCCATCTTGGCCTTCCACCAGCTGGCCAGAAAAAACCTCTGAAAAACTCTCCAGGGAAAGTAATGTAGGCCTAAGTGCTGAGCAGGAGGCTCCTGGCCTTTTGGGAATTATAGAGGCCTGCCCAGCTGCCATGTCCCCTGTTCCAAATCCCAATTCAGTTTTGCCACCCACTAAAGAAAAAAAAAATCATCAGCTCAGTTTCAAAGATGTCCTTTTACCCTCAGCCTTTTCCACACTTTTCAGGGGCTACTTTTCTCCAGAGGCCCAAATGATCTTCCCCCTTTGGTCAGATTAGGAGTTGGGGTCCTTCCTGAAAGAACCTCTGGTTCTCCCTCCAGCCAGGGCCCAGTCTTCTTCCATCCAAGTCAGCTTCCACCCTGAGCCCAATAGTCAAGTCTGGACACTTACCCGATCAATTCCCTTCCAGCTGGGCCCAACTTCTTACAGGACCTGGGGGGAGGGGGGCTGGTGAGGAGGCAGCAGAGGGTCCTGGAGGCTGTACTGGGCCCTTGTTCCCCTTCACCCCTTGAATTTGTCCCCCTTTGCCGATAGCAAACTATCCCAAAAGTCGCTATGACATTTAGATGTCAAATGGATAGGGGTTTTATCTCGAAGTTAGATCGTAAAAATCGCCGAGAAGTCAGACAGATACCCCTCACTGGCTCGAGAAAGTCACGTGAGGTCCATAAAGTTAGTTTTATGGTTTTGGGGAGTTGACACCGCGCGGTATATTTCACATTCTCCAGAATGTTAAGTGACACTTTAACTGCTCGCTGTGGTGGGGAAGGGGGCAGAGGTAGGTGAGCGCTCTCTCAGCCTAGAGCAGCCTGACCAGCCCAGGAGGCGGTGGCGGCAGCCCAGGCCCAGCATTCCCGCAGTAAGTCGCTTCCAGCTTTCGCTTTCTTCCCTTGCAATTTTGGGTTTTGGGACTAGGGGAAGGAAATCTTGCTTCCAGAAGGGCTGTGGAGTGATATAGGGAAAATTTAGCTTGTTTTTATATACTCAGATCTGAGATATTGGGTGCCTGAGGTGGGAGCACTCAGTTCCAAAAGCTTTCAGTGCTTGAGGCTGCCTGGTTTATGTTTGCTGAAGTGTCGGATTCTTTGGGGCAAAGAGGGTTGCAGGAGACCCATGTTCCTTCTGTTCCCTTGGAAATTTGGGGAGCAAGAAGTGGGGATGTGCATTGCTGGAAGAAGGGCCTGTTGTTGGGGGGTATTTCACTACTGGCTATCTTCAGATTATCTTCACACCCCCAGGAAAAAAAAAAACTGATTTCATTTGTCAGAGGTATGTGGGGGGCGCACTGCTGGTCACTTTTATCTGAATACATCTGAGCTGAGAAAAACCACTAGGGAAAGAAGCTGCTGTGGGCTGCTTTGCCATGGAGTACTCTCTGGCTTTTGGATCTGTAAGTCCCACAAAAGAGAACTTCTCTTTCTCTATGACCTCATCAGGCTTATGCGGAATGGGAAACACATAACTATTGCACCAAAATTGAGCCCATTGGCTCCAACTGATCTCTTCTTCTAGGTTCTAAGAAGGATCTTGAGGTCAGAATGGGGAGCGGACAGAGAGGGTAATCTCCTCAATACCAAACCTAATTCCTGACCAGGAGGTGGAGAGCAAAGGAGCTTCTGCCCCAGCCTGGAGGAATTAGGTGTTTAAGTAGATCCCTGGCAAGCCCTCCACAAATAACACCTCAGGAATACAGACCCCCAACTGTGGGGAAGCAGCAAAAAGACCCAGGAGCTGGGAAAGGAAATTGGGAAGGTGCTCTTTTCTCTCTCCTCTTTTTCCTCCTCTCTCCCTATTATACCCTCAAAGGCCTCTTTGTTTTGTGGCCCCACAAATCAGAGGAACTTCAAGATCTGACCCTTTTCTAAAGAAAAGTTACCCTTATTCTAAAATCCAGAGACCTCTTCTGTACCAAATTGACACCTCCCCACAATTTAAGATCACTGGGGCCAACCACTCTCCCTCTTGCTTTCTCTGTCCCACCATCTCTTGATTCAGCTCACCAACTCCCGGGTAGATAATGCCTGGGATTGGAAATGTGGCATCTTGAGGGGCTCCTGACATTTGGGATAAAAATGGGTTACAAGATTTCCTGTTTTTCATTAAGGGGCAGTGGGACTGTCTTCTCTTTTCTGAAGCCGTTCTGTTTTCTGACCTGCCATTCTCTACCCATGCCTCACTTACAAGAGACCCTTAACAGGCTTTTAGAGCAGAGTTAGAGTATAGAGGGCTTGGGGTCCTCACCCTGATTTAAAGAAACATTTCCCCAAGAATGATGTGTGTCCCTTGGTGATATTGGTCAGCACCATTTAAAATATGAAAACATTTTGGAGGTATGGCCTCCACAGGTTTTCACTCTATACAAGGCAAGAGATTGATAGAGGTGCAGGGGAAGAGTGTAACGGCGGCTGAGTCCAATATGGGGCATCCAGGGGAGCCCCATTCTTACTGAGCTCCTGGCCTTACTCTGGCTTCTCTGTCCTGGATACTTCGTTAGTAACTTGAAGCCCCAGACAAGCCCCTAAAGATTCCCCCCCCCCATCACATATCAGTTCTGTAAACTCTGATAAAGAATGAATGATGTTAGCAGCCCAGAGACATAGCTGGGCAGATTTTCCTGAATAGCAAAGAGCAGCCCTAGATGGGGGTGCCCACTTAGGCCTCAGAAGCCAAACCACTGGAGGGTCTCCTCTGGATTTAAGTGGATCCTGGAGAAGAAGCCCTGACTGGCCTTTCCTCTTCCCCACTTTGGGCTACCTGGGCAACAATTCTCCCTGAACCCCAACAGAGACAAACTGAGAGAGGGAATGAGAGTTGGGGAGGTGGTTGGGGGCAAAAGAACTCTCCCTGCCCCAGACCTGAGTCCTCTCTTCCCACTTTTCCCCGAGAGTCCCTATTAGGAAACACTGCTCCTCTCTCTCCATATATCTCTTTTCCTTCCTCTCCCACTACTTTTTTCTCCCCTGCCAGTCCAGGCCTTAACCTTCTGGGCTATAAGCTGGCACCCTCTGACCAAATCCTTACCCTGGAGAAAGCCCCAGGAGGTGGCAGCCAGAGACTAAGGCTGCAGTTTCCCTTTTGCTCTGTGTCCAGCCTGGCCACCACTCAGTGGACAATTTGATTTTTTGTTTTATTTGGTTGTTTGTTTTATTTTGTTATGTTTCTCTGAGGCCACAGGGTGGGAGGAAGTATAAAGAAGTGTAAACAGGAAAGCCAGCCGGGCCTGGAGTTCCAAGTGCCCATATTTCATTGGCTTCCTCTCCATAACTGTGGTAGGGACACTTAACCCTTCCCTGGCTGTGAGAAGTTATTTACTGAGGCCTGGAAGGGCAGGACGCAGGAGACCAAAGAGAAAGCTCTTTTCTCTGCCTGGTTCCTTTATCCTTGGAATCTGGATGTTAGGGCGGAAGCCAAGGATTCAGAGCAAAGGGGAAGATAGACTACTCAGCACAATCCCCCACACTTAGTCCCTTTCCAGGACTTTTCCTCAGTACCGTTTTCTCTATATGGGCTTCCCTGGCCAACCTTGGAAGACAGGGCTAGCAAGAACAAGCTCCCTCTTTTAGAAGGGAGCTCATTGGTCCCTCACCCTATTTTGGAGTTTCTCAGGGTAATCGAATTTTGAGGATGGGATCTGCTCAGAGCGGGGATTTATTGATTACTGCAGCGCTGTTATACATCCATATTAATTAGCCCAGACACCGCCTGGAAACTGAGCTGTTTGGGGAGGGGGAGGGGAGAAATGGGGGCCCCTTAAGGAGAATAGACATTTCTCCCTAAGTGCTTCTAAGACGCAGATTGGAGAGTCACCCTCACAAGAATCCTGTGGTCCTTCCCAAGATCCCCAAGATTGAGGTCTCTGGACTTCTCAGAAAGGGGAAGAATGACAATTGAGTCTGGACTCCACACAAGTCTCCTGGGGTGGAATTAGACACCTCCCAGGTCGGTTCTGGCCGTTCTGGCCGGCCGGCCCTCACCCTCTCTTGCCTGCTAGAAGTCCTGTCTTGGTCATTTTCTCGCTGTCTCTGATGAAAGTTCCCAAAGCAACCTTTAAAGAGGAGTTAAACGTCTCCTCCCCACCTTCCTTTCAACTTTTCAAAGGTAGAAGCCTTTGATGGGTTTCGCGTTTGTTTTATTTTGCCTTGTTTTAGGGTCCTGTTTGTTGTTGTTTGGTAGTAATAATGTAATGGCCTTCCCCTTCCTCCTACCCCTCCCTCCAAAAAGTGATTAAAATCTGTTAAAGGATTTAATTAAGAGAGTTAAATGAAAAGGAAGGAGGCGCAAATGAGTTGGGGGAAAAACCCACACCAAAGCTATTCTCAACGATTAAATCGCCATTTTAACAATATAATGGAGTTTGCATCCTGAAAGGGGAAATCAACGCTCATATCTCATCAATAATTCATAGAGTCCGGGATCACGCAGAGGTCAGCAGACTGGGGGCCGCAGCGCTGGCCTACTTGGGGCTCAGAGTCGCTGCCGCATACATTATGCACTGCCGGCCACACCGCTGCCACCTCCGCAACCTCTACAGCAGCAGGCCGGGCAGGGCATGAAGACAGGTTTTGGCGAATCTTTCCTTCGTTCTGTTGGCGAATTCACTGAAATCCAAATCGCGGGTTTCAAAGAGTCGGGGTATTTAGGGCACTGGAGAGGTTAGGATTTCGAACAATTCGGGAACCTGTAGGATCCCTAAGAGTATCTCCTTTTCAAGTTTTAATCGTTCTCTCTTTCCCTCTTTTTTTCCTTTTTTCTATGGTTTAGGCATCTCCCTCCCTGTCTCTTCTCTTCCTAAATTTCCTCTGGAAGAGGAAGGTGCAGCATCCTGCAATTTCCTCTCCCTGGAATCGCTCCCAGGCCCGCGGGGCCGCGCCCTGGCTTTGCTCTCCTAGTGGACTGGGCTGAGCCCAAGCTGCTGCTGCCTGGGCTGCGCTGGCTTTGGTTGCCGCGAGCCCTGACCTCCGGGACCGGTGGGGTAGAAAGTACCGCAGGCCCCAGGCCCGCTGGCCTAACCATGAGCTAACCCCATGGAGGGGTGGGCAGTTAACCTTATAAGAGGTACCTAGAGGGCAGGTGCAGGAAAAGTGACAGCGTGGGAGGGGGGAGTCTCCTTGTTGGGGATTTGGAAGCACTAAGGGGATTAATCCCTATATCCGGATTTCTACTCTTTTACTTGTGTTCTTTCTCCTTCTCCTTCTCTCTCTCTCTCTCTCTCTCTCTCTCTCTCTCTCCCCAGCTCTTTAATTTGTGCTCCTTCTCTCTTTTTTTGTTTTCTGACTCCCAAGAGCCCCCAAAGGAAGGAGAAATGAAATCCTTCCTCCCCACAGTTGGGGGCCTAGGAGGTGCTATTTGGGCGGAAGGGAAACCGAAAGCGCGCAGGGTCTTTCACACTGGCCGAAAGGCAGAGGCTGTAACATCCCGGAGCTGCCAGTAGAGTCCGCCTTAGACCAAGTTCACAGCCAGGCTGGGACCTACGAGCTGCCAGCGAGCGGCCGTGCAAGGTGGCCCCAGGCCTCGCCGGGCTTGGTATTATTGGGACACAGGTCTCGCATCAGTCCTAAAAGCATAGTGGTCCTCTCCGCTCCCAAGGAAACCCTGCCCCAGACTCCTTTCATTCTTCACCCCAGAAATACCCTTCTCCGGGTCAGCCCACCCATTCTGCGGCTCCTCATAGACACCTCGCCTAGCAACCTTGGTCCCACTCTGGGGGACAAGAATGAAGAAGGGTGGATGGTCAAAGTTCTTCCAGGAGTCCTAACTGAAATGACCAGTGAGACTGCAGGCAGCAGGATCGGCGTTTTTTCCCCCCAAGTAATTATTTAATAATCAAAGACTCCTATTCCCCAGGTCTTAGTAAGGCCC